AAAAAAAAAAAAAAAATTTGATTTGCATGCCTCTGGGTCCCTAAGCAACTTTTCTCATGTGCTTCCCACATATTGATTATCAACACATAGTAGTGTCTTTTCAGCAAATCACCACCAGCCAAGACGCGGATGCGTCTCGCCATCCTGTGATACGTATTTTTTTTAATGGGTATTCTTTTTTCTTGTACAAATTTATGACACTGAATATGTGTTTGGAAACTATACAACTATCTCCCCAAGGATTCTAGCAGGAAGCAGCATTCAGATCCCAGAAGGTCCATTTAAGATGCTTTTGGGGGCCTCCTTGCAGAGGGGCGGGGTGGGGCTCCGTGAAATGAGGGATGTTGAAGGGGCTAGCAATATGGGGAGCTTGTATGTCTGCTAGCCCTGAAGGATCTAGAAAGGGAGTGAGAAGGGACCATCCACCCACAGCTGTGGCCATGGAGAAGCCAGGATGGGCATAAGGGAGGGAACGAGGAAGAAATACCCTGACCTTTCTTTCCTTCTACCCTATCATTGCCTTCTCGTCCTTCCTATTGGTCAACCATACTGGAAGTCCGGGGGGGGGAGGTGCAGGGGAGTCTGGGAAATGTAGTCCCCGAGGCCCTGGGGTGGCCAGAAGAGACTATTCATCATGTTCAGTGAGTCAACAGAACCAAAATAGCTCCAACTTGACCCAGCCAGTTCTTTAGCACCTCTGTAAAACTCTGCCCCTCACCTTTGTAGAACAAGATGCTCCCTCTGACCCCGTAACTCTAGTTTGACTCTGGTTTAGAGGCCTCTAGCATTGGGTTCCATGTTGTTTTTCTTCTTCCATTTCAGTTGCCAGGAATTCTTGCCACCTTGCTGCTGTTCATCAAATTGGGCTGACACTCAGGGCTGGAGAGAACAAGACACCTGGACCCACCTGGCTGCTGGAGATTTGGTCTCATTTCTGTATCTCTGCGGCACTCACTGCTTTGGGTGGGGAGATTGTTAATAAAAAGATTCAGGAAACCCCTGTCCAGCCTGACTCCCATCTGCTTAGTTTTATTTTCACACCACTAGGCAATGATTTTTAGCTCGAAATACCTGAATGAGACGGCATGTCCTTCCTTCTAATACAACTCTCCTGGGATGTAAATTACTTTGTGAAAAAATCTGGAATGTTCACAAAAGCTGAGAGAATCCATCCAAAGAAACCCCCATAAACCCATCAC